CCAGTTCTGACATTTTAAGTAGGATTTTCAAAACAGTCAGTCTAGAATCTACCAGATGACTATCAGGTGGAGCCAATTAATAGTCGACTGAGTGCATTTGAACAAACCCAAGTATTCACCATACACATAGGCAGTTGCTAGCTAAAAGTCTGCACTTAGTTAATACGTCTGCTTTCTCGATGGCAAAGCATGCAGTAATTGTATAGTACTTACGATTAGTTCACAACTCTTTTAGCATTAGCTGTTATTCCACAGTAGCTGATTGACTTCAAATCAAATATTCATATAAAATTTCGTAGCGAGCTTGAAAAGTGTTGTTCCGAAAGATTTGCCCGAGTTTTCTCGTTACATTCTTCCGAAGTTAAACAAGACAGACTTGAACAATCTAACCTGGGATCCAAGTGTGAAAACCTTAACAACCTCAGAGAAATTCGAACCCATAGCGACAAAGAAACAGGATTTGCTGTCAGCGTTTCGGATTCTAATGAGATCGTCGGGTATTTTACAATAGGGTCAGACAAAAAGGCATTTAAAAATTCGTTAAGATATGGAGGTAGGGACCGCCTCCCGTTATGCAATTGATCTTGTAAGTTATGGTTAGGGTTAATTTTCGTGTAATGACTAATGTTTGGGTTAGCACTAGAACGTACGAATAGGTATCCGTTCTGTGACTTCGCGTATAACCAAGTGCTATACTCGGGGTAGCTCCCAGTCCTATGTCTAACCGCATTTGTTTTTCTTAAAATACTGCGTAGGCATTGGGATTTAAGACCCATCATGTGGAGTGAAAATGTAAAAACGAAACGCGTTGGTAAACAGTGCAACTCGTGGGTGGGTGTCGTTTGTCAGCTGTAGGTTGAATTATGGTGACAACAGTAAACCAGCACTGTTTTTTCAGAAAAATAATAACCAACGCAACCCTGAATTAGGTTTGAATTTTTATCCGACGTACTTCCAAAGGAGGTAAACGATAAATGCAATTATGTTTGTGCATTAAGTAGCCTGTATGGAATCCTCCTAAATATTTATAATGAGTTGATGTTTCAGGCACATTAAACGATGTTAACTCGTTTCCAAGCAAAGCTTCTTTTGAATTTCAGCATGCGTGTGGGTTTGGCCGATTTAAATTCATAACTTTGCAAGGAAAGCCATCAAAAAGGCATGTGCTATACGGTTTTATTATTCAGGTATCGATTAACGCATCATACCTGCAGGCGTGCTTATAAATTCTATAATACGGCCCGACGCGTGGGGTATGCATGTGCATTCAAGCAAATGCCCACAGACTAATTGCTGTTCAAAAGACCGCCAGTTGCTTTAGTTGAGGTCGCTAGCAAGGAAATATGAGACCCGAGACAGAAAAAGTGCCTCACTGCAACTGAGTTGCTGGCTGTTTTGAAAGCTTGGTTCATTCTTTGGTTTTCAGAACATTTACGCCGAAAGCCAACCATTTTTAGCTGCACCGCCGAGCTAATCGACCTCGCACTGGTCTCGCTTCTGTCCTTTACTTGATTCAGCTTTTCGGCAATTTTTTAAGACTTAACAGCTG